AGACTGCGACCAGTCGTCGACCAAATTACACCCACACTTGCTATCTGCCACCACCCTCAAGATGAGAAGCTAAGTTTCGGGACACGAGGTTGGTGAGAATAAAATACGGACTTGAGAACAATGATCAAGGTCTGGAGGAAAGCGTGTGAATGGATTCAGTTATACAGACAGATGGACGTGGATGGATCACTGAGGATCTTTTAATAAGCTTCACGGCATTTTGAAAGGGAATTCGAATTTCCGACGTGACATGTAAGCAAAGACAGGGCACTGGCATAACACCACCGAGTCCCATGCACGCATGTATCAGTTGTGAAGAAAACCTAATTCAACTCACTCCTTACTGTATGCTTATCCGATCTGATCAACCTGGACACGGACTTCATAAAAATTGCATCAGGACGCAGTGATAATGAGCAGACAAACTGCACTGTTTACTTCTTTTTTGAGGTGACCGGTGAGGCCTGCATCTGTTTATTTTTTATTCTTCATTTAATTAACTGCATCCGCGGCGGACTGTTTTGATTATCCTGAGGAAACAATAAATCCACGTCGTGCAGCCCGCCTCGGACAACTTAGCAGGCCCAAAAACATTCAAGGGTGCCCAAAATTCTGACCTTGTCACTCCACCTTAGCGGACGCGCACGCACGCACGCATGCACGCATGAATACACACCAACACACACGCTAACCGGAACAGAGAAAATGGCACGCTTCGCATTCTATAAACAGACATGACATAGCGTGTAACGAGCAAAAAGCCAGTGATATCATCTGTGATGGAGAACAGACGGCTTTAAGGACAAACAACGGACCATACTATGTAAGAATATGTCTAGTGCGATATCATTACCGACAAAAAGATCCCTCCCAGACTTTGTCGTACACATTGTGCAAACACAAGAAGCAGCGTGCCACTCCAAGCAAAGTGCGCACATTCCATGCACGTCCCACTTCGCTGAAATCTGTGCGACCAGCGACGTACGCAATTAGTCCTCTTCAGCTGCATCCTGTGCCTGCCATCTACGTGTGGGAGTTGCCGCGCACGGCGAGGGAACGATTCTGCGATCACCGCGTTCAGACTTCAACAAACCTTTTGCTCTTCACGTCCTTCAGACTACAGTTTTAATACTATTCCTGAAGTGCCAGTTGTGGGGAAGATATTATGTAAGCGTCGAGGCGATATGGAACGGAAACGTAAAGAAACAATGGCTATTCGGGGCATGGAAGCCGTCACGAACAAAGCCGAAGTCCGCTGATCTCTTTTCAGCTCGTAGGCCCTCTGACATCAGCATGACGTGAACACCACCAACGTTCTGTGATTTTATATTTAGAGTACATCTCAGTGCTCAGTGTCCTCAAGACGGATGTCTCCTTTTTTATTTTATGGGGAAGAGTATTTCAGTCAAGCTGGGATATCACGAAGTGTTGAATGAAATGTGTCCCACTTTCGCAATTTTGTGCAGTTGACGCATCCAAATGTTTAGCAGCTACCCAAAGGAAGATTGATTTGCATTTGTTATCATGTTTTGTTCCTTGCATTTATCTGAATCAGAAGGCACGTGTTTGTTCTAACGATGTCCAGATTTGTGTCGACACCGCGTCGCCCGGTATTGATAAAATTACGGACGCAGCAGTAGCAGCACAATATTAATTGCTAGACCATCCACGACCACATTGGCCTTTTATATTATGGAACCAGCCATGGACAACAGATACAATGCCAGAAGACGACACCAATCGATTGAGGCTGAGATTAGGTGACGCCTGAGTCGACTCCCGAACGGGCCTGGGGCCATGGGCCGCCGCACGTCGTTGGGTGTGCTGTGTTAGGACCATTTTATGTGTGCTGGGTCGATTGCGGACAAATAGCACGTGAAAAGAAACAATTGTTGGTAGGAGAAGGTGTATATGGCAAAAATACGTGTGTAAAAAAACAGTACGCGGATGTGGGATGGCTGTAAGACCCCATACGTAAAGTTCATACGCAAAAATTATCCAGGGATGAAATGCGTTAAAAACAGGCACGCAAAAGACCGTATGCATATATATGCGCATGTGTGATCGTAACGCTTGTACGTGTAATGCAAGTGCGAATTCAAAATCCTATGTTTGGTACCGGACCTCGGATTAATGTGCACTGCGAGGGTCAGTATATGGCGTCCACCGCTGAGGGGGAGAGGTAGGAGGTGACGGTGAAGAGGGACAATGGCAAAGATCAGGTAAAAGTCACCAGCCTATGGATTCATGACATGAAATAAAATGCCTTCTGGTGACTGGCAAACGTGAACTCTTATCTTTGATAGCAGTGCGAGATAGCCCCAGTATGGAAGGGACCAGACTTAAAAAAACAAAACATACGTATCGCAGATCACCCAGCGCATCCATTGTGCTCCCTTTCTTTGCTGCTCTGACGACGCCTTCGTCAACGTCCCAGTCTAGGCACAGTAGAGTTATAACTGTTGCCTAGCGCCGCAACAGGCCAGACAACGCACGCTAAAGTGGAAGACATTTTCAGAGGGGCAATGACACAAGCAAGATGGGTCCTAAATTGAGAAGAAGAAAAAACGATACATCGTTTGGTGTTCAAGGAGGACATACCCCAACGAAGTCTGGTATGGAGGATGTTGTCTGCTTTGTTTTCTTCGAAAGAGCAATATGGTTGTAGCGCCCGCACCACCAGCCTCTGGACAGAGCACGCTTGAGCTTCAGCAGCGCGGTCGCTATTCGGATAAGGACCCGGACCTGATTCCGAGATTCATTTGTGGCAGGTATAAGTGAGCGTTGAAACGGGGTGAGACCGTTGAGCGGCTGGGGTATGGTGTTTACATTGCATACGTTTATAACTGCGTCGTGTTGTCGAGCGAGTCCCGCCCAAGGCCACGTCTCAGCCGTCAGAGGGCGGCCCGATACGTGCTCCCGTCACTGGTCCCCGCCCTACTTCGAAGCCTCTGAGTGCTGAGTGAGTCAGTTGCAGTCGTCGGGGCGTGAGTTAGACTGAGTGACACGGCGATAGCGCTGGTTGGAGGGTATGTTGTAAAAGGCTGAAGGCTAGGCTGCAACCCCGTAGTAAGTGTTTTCAAGGATCGAGAAGGATTTGCGTGGGATCAAGTGTGAATAGACTTGGTGGCGGCACTCAAAGGTGCAATGAATTTTAATCCGATACAGATGCAAAATGTTACACCTTAAAACCATCTTAGCACCAAGGATGGCCACAAGCAACTCATTCAGACGGTTTGTGAACGAACATCTCAGGAGTTTTCTGTTTGCTTTCGCTAAATTCCCTGGCAAATGTTCGAGAACACAATTATGCAATTTTTTGTCGAGAGTAATATCCTCTAGAAAAGTCCCTTTATGCTAAAATCATTCCATCGCTTCATAACCTACCCTACACGTTCACCTGCTCTCTATTTGCCCTATTGCAGGTAGTTTTCCTGTAAGCCAAAAAGCGAGAGACATTTCCAATTTTCGTTGCAGAACAGTTTTCATGAAGCAACTCTGGGCTGCCCTTCTGCCGCACGTTAAGAATTTCTATAATATTGACGTTTTTTATTCCTCCATAACATTTTTGTGAGCTTAACACCAAGTTGTATCCGACTAAGCCTCCAGTCAGCTATTCTGCACGCAAACTGCATGAGGCGTCGCATTGGGCAAGGAAAGCCTCAAGACCCCCGCGTTCAGTGGAGCCACGTCATATTTACGCGTCCTGTCGGTGGTAAAGCATATGGTGAATCAGACTCGCGAGATGTTTACTCAAGAATATGGATCGATCCCGGGGATAAAAAGATTCCAATAAAACACGCTAAAATATGACAGGCCAGTGAAGAGTTAGGCAGCTTGTGAATGCCTACCATGCACCACGGCTGAACGAACGAAAACAGCCCAGATTCAGGGAGGAGGATGCCATTATACCGGCTTTTGTGCCAGTGCTCCCATAAGATTATGGATATTGTCAGCCTCTGATGCACGAGCAGCACCTGATGGGTATAGCTAGAGACCAGGACGTATCATCAGTTGAAGTACAGTTACTATCTGACCAGCGTAGTCCGAGACTGATGCACAGTATTAGAGCCTCTGATGCACACCATTGTCAGCCTCTGATGCACACCATTGTCAGCCTCTGATGCACGAGCAGCACCTTATGGGTATAGCTAGAGACCAGGACTGTATCATCAGTTGAAGTACAGTTACTTTCTGACCAGTGTAGTCCGAGACTGATGCACACCATTAGAGCAGGTTTGCGGCAAATATAACTGCTATCGGATACGGAACTAGCCATGCGAAGGCGTGGTGTGCATCTTCACCATGTATATGAAACAGGCAACAAACATGGACTCGAGTTCTCTTGCGCTGCCACTTAGGCGACGGAAACTTTCCGCGAGGAGAACCCCGACCGTTGAGCGTCGCTGTCTCTGTCAGTTCACATCGCACCGTCACGGCACGAGGCAGCTGAGCTCAATATGGACATCGGGAATGGGCATGACGACAGGTGGACACACCGATGGCGAAAGAAGACTCTTCTGTTTGGCTTAACGCTGCATAGCATGGTCTGTGATGCCTGACATCTGCGCTGCGGTCGTCAGCGAAGCGAGTACGGTTGATTTTCGACTCGATCTAACAACGATGAGTTACATGACGTGTCAGCAGCTAGAGAAATGTGACCAGTTCCAGCATCTCCAGTCAGGTAATCGTCTGATGATGTTTGTGAACGCGTTTCTATCCAGCTGCTTTGAACAGTAAGCACCGACATGTACATACCCAAATTATTCTCGCTCACCCTCGACAATTTTCTCTATCGACATACATTGTTCTCCACACAAGATGAGTGCGCTTAAATCGTTTCGAAAAATCGCTCAATAACCGCTCAATGTTTCCAAATGTTACAAAACAAACAAGCAACGGAAACAAAATAGCACCATCTCTGCAATTGTCAGCCGACACCAGCTTGACGCCGGCTGAGCACCAATCTCACAAGCTGGTCCCGCTGTAGCTGCACCCACCTGGCACGCACTGGTAGCTGCTGAGGAACAGCTGGATATCACGCGTCAGCTGCTCCTTCAGAATCATCTCGGCCGGCTGCTCGAGGTAGCTGAACACCAGCGCGCCCAGCGCCACGTACAGCAGGTAGAAGGCCGTGTAGCAGGCCAGCAGGCAGCTGCTGCGGCGCACGCACAGGCAGCGGCGCACGTGCGCCCGCTGGCCCGGCTCATCCAGCCACGAGTAGGCGCTGGCCTTGGCGTCGGGCGGCGTCATGGTGCCAGCTGCAGGCGCGCGCTGCCGGCCGGACCGACTCCAGGCTGCGGCCGACGGCGGCCACTGGACGCGACCTCGGCGCCGGCTGCCGCTGACGCGACGCGCACTGCAGACCGGCGTGGAGAGCCTCCCGTCCGCCGGCGCCGCCGCTTAGCGGTGCCCTGAGCTGGTGGCGTGTGCGGCGCGCGGCGCCAGCAGGCCGCGCGGAGACGGGTTCACCGCGCTGGGCACCGCGCGATTGAGACCACAAGTATGGCAGGGCTGAACACTTGGCGCTGGCCGCGCACCTGCGTCCGACCGGCTGTCCGGGCCAGCGGCGGCCGACCCGCCCCTCCCCTCCGGCTGGCCGGCGTCTGGTCAGCGCCGGCCGGCCGGCAGGCGGCCCGCCCGGTCGGCCGGCACGCCCCTGATCGGAGCCCGCTGTCAGCCGCGTCACACGGCAGCTCGGCGGCAGCGCGACCGCGGCCGGGCCTGCGCCGACGCACCGGACTCGCGCCAGCGGTCTCCTGCACACAAGACCTGAAAACACGCCACACGCCGCTAGCATTCGCCGCTCTGATCAGCTTTTCTGTCATGACTGAATGCTATTTTTGTGCTGAATTGAAGAAGGTTCATGGTCTGCTCATAACAAACAGGGCTATGCGCTTATTCTAGTTTGTCGGTTTTTCGCGGTGCACAGGTATGGTTTTATGAACTTGTGCAGGGGTAGACGCCTTCGGGCACCACACAAATCCACCGGATTTCGAGCTTACCTTACCTCCCAGGACAGCAAAACGCATACAAACGTGTGTAGCGATTCTTGAGGACGGCCGTTCATTCTGGAACGTCCACCCTGACCTTTGAACATTTCGGAAATGAGGCACCCGAAGTGACTTCACCGCGGACCTGCTGCGAAGCCGTGCATGTAAATAAAATCGGACCAGCACCGAAGCGTCAGAACTGTCGTCGAGGGTACGCGACAAATGTGTGCGCCTGAATATTGTATGGGGGTAAGAACTCATTCTAATAAAATGTGGCGCGTAAGCTATCTGATTCAAAATATTCAGCTATAGTTCTAACAATATCTGCGCAGATTTCACTCCTTAGTTTGTACGCACAAAGCATGTCAAGTATGTGTGGTATTGTGACACATTTTCCAAATGTGCTTCGGCACCAAGTAATTTACATTCCTTGCTCCTCAACAAAAAAAGATGTTTCACATATTTCGCAGTGGATTTTGCCGATTGGCAGCAGCGCAATGATGCATTACTCATAAGAAGCTTTCTTATGGCAGGTCACATATACTTCACTTGAGGATTTCACACACTAACAGTGGGGTATGCTGTGCAGACCCGATGAGCATGATGAGCAAGGTGCCCGGAAAAGCTTTTCTTTTTCGAACTTGTTTTCAGCCCTGTGGGAAAAAATATCATTTTTCTCCTAAAATATTCTCTCGAGATCACAAGACCATGAAGTGTGAGACGTTTCCAATAAAACCGTTTTCCCAACTTTCGGACGTTCTACCATAACACATACTGCAGCTTTCTGCGTATACTGCTAGCTCGTAATATACTCGTTTTCTTGTCCTATTGTCCACAGTCTCTTTAGTACAAATGCCCACCGGCAATAATTTTGCTTTCCTGTGGCATATAATATGATCGTATCCATCTCTTTTGACTTGTTCGCATTAACCTCGTTGTACACATTTGAATTCTTAATTATACAAAGGATAAGACGTGGGGAAAACAAATTAAGGAAAACCGGCCTACGGAAAAATGAACGAAGTATTGCGCTTTACGACGCTGACTTTATTTCAAAGGAGCCATTTTCTTTGGTGGTTGAACTGCCTACAAAATGTCGTGGGTGTTAGCAGAATCGGCAAGACCAGCTATACATTTTCAAATATCGCGACAAAAAGTGGGCCAATCTGCCTGCACATATACAGTTACATCTACTTACACCTCCCTATAGATACCTTACGCGCCACATTTTATTAGAATGAGTTCTTACTCCCGTGCAATATTCAGGTGCATACATTTGTCGCGTACCCTCGACGACAGTCCTGACGCTTCATTGCTGGTCCGATTTTATTTACATGCACGGCTTCGCAGCAGGTCCACGGTGAGGTCACTTCGGGCGCGTCATTTTCGAAATGTTTTAAGGTCAGAGTGGACCTTCCGGAATGATCGGCCGTCCTCAAGAATCGCTACATCCGTCTGTATGTGCTTTGCCGTGCTGGGCGACACAACTCTCCTTTTCTCGAGCTTATTGCTATTCCTTGCTACATAGTTCGTGTCGTCGTTTGATCGTGCAAAAGGCGAGCCTACTGGCAACAAACTACGTCGTCCCGTCATTAGAACCACGTCCACAGCCTCTGACCGGTAGGCAGTGCCACATGTGTTTACATTCACCGACGTCCGCAGTCCCTTCTTGCATCAACGCTGCGAGCAAAACCAAAACGGCTAACCGACGCGACCGGGTGACCCCAAAGACGGTCCCAACTTAAACGGTGCACCCTCTTGTCTGGGTTTGAAAAACCGTCAGTACTGAAAATTTCACTGCGTACTTTTCAAAATGTAAAATAATGGCACACAATTGTTTGTTGGGCAAACGGCAACAAGTTGGGAAAAAGCTGGACAAAAAAACAACAAAATGCGTGGATCTTTTTACTGCATTGTTCGCATATCATGCCTTGCTCCACGCTTCGCCTGCCAAGGACTGCATTGTGCAGCCGCTTTGAAAATAATGATAATGGTGATATGGTTTTTCTGGTGCGATAAAATGCAAAGCTCAGCAGAGAACCGAACCCCGGACCTTGGTCCTGTTCAAATGCTCACCAGCTGATCTTATGTAGAGAAAGCAACATACGATATCAACCTCCAGTATACAGACCCAAACCGTCATGTGAACCATCATATCTCTAAACAATACCATTCATACCAGCAGCGAGGGACTGAAACGTTCATTTGGATGAAACTTCCAACGATCTGTGGTTCGATTCCCTGATGAGCCTCACGCTTTCGGTGTCTGTCAGATGGACATCACCTCCCTGCAAGGCTGCCGCACAATACGGCCCTCTCAGTCAGGGTCTGGAGAGAAAACAGCGCACGATATTACACTTCCGGCTAGGCGTGCACACAAACAATTCCGTATTTGTCCAAATGGGATCAGAACTAGTTAACAGTGCCCAAAATATATGTTACGGTGAAGAACGCAGACTTACACAGCTTGCTTGGCTTTCAATGAAACGCATTTCGTATGCATCTGGGGCTATATTTCGTTTGTGGATTTAAAAAAGACTTCTGCGCGTTGTTCCGCCGCTTGTCTATGTAGTCCACTATGCATAGACTGTCTTATGACAAGTTTGTCAGCCTTGCAAGGCGCTTTAATAATAGTGAATGAAATGCTCAACACAACTTTAACATTACATGTCATCATGAATTCAAGTGTTGTGTTGCCTTCTTGTCTTGTTCTACCTTGCCCCGTTGTACAAACATTTGTCACCGCGCGTCATGTTCGTACACATTAGCCCCAACCACTTTAACAATTTTGGGACCTCTCGGCCACAAATCTTAACTTTCAGCAACGTTGTTGATTGAGTTACTGTTTCTGTTTATGATGTACTCAGCTACGATTAACGACTCTCCCGGAGGAACTCACTTCATTATTAAGACTTACTTCGAGTAAAAAAGCTGGCGGATAGCTCAACTTGGGGCCGAGTTTCCGAAGTTTAAGTGGATAAATCCGTTCATCAACCGGTTATCACCAAACTTGAGGCGGCGGATTTCTGTGCTAAAAAGCACGGGGGTGGGCGCCTCAGGACAGCCGTGTTGGAAAACCATGTGGGCGAAGTGGAGAAGCTGGCCTGCTTTCAAGAAGACCGGACTGAAACCGACCTGAATCACCGCAAGATGGCCAGGTCAAGGGAAGTCTTCAGATGGAACATTCAGCGGTTACTCAAGCCTAACAAGGTGAAAGGGTTCAAGCGCCCTACCCAGCCCCACCGCTGTCTGGGGCAGTGTGTCAGAAACGAGAGTCCCAGGCCAAGGGCCTGTGTGGCATTGGGGCTTTGCGATGCACCCAGCTACTTAGGCTATATGGCGCCACCTGCCTTTCAGCCCCGCAGGAAAGCCGGGAACGGAAATAGCATCCTATACCTCTGGTTTCTTATAAGCGCAACTTAACCCCTGCATTTCATACACTCTGCACTAAGCTCCGTATATCCGGCTAGCGCACTGCGGTATTAGACGCAGCGAAAAGCCAAGGGACTTTTAGAGTGATTTTCACCGACGAGTAGGATTTCGCGCTTAAAATGTCGTTGAACACTCGGAGCAACCGCGCCTACGGGAGAGGCAGCAAAAGTGAGGTTCTGGCAGTCCAACTGCACCACAAAAAAACCATTTTTTTACAAGAATAACCACGGTTATCGCTGGAGTCTCCCGAAATGAAAGGCTTAAATCGGCCTTTTAAACACGAAATGTTGAAGGTCGTTTACAAGTATCACATCATTCTTTACATCAATCGGTTTCCTTAACATCAGCCAAGCAGTTTCGTAGCGTGGGACTGTAAGCAATGCCTAAAAACGATACGTCATTCCATTTAGTTGACCATGGATCATATTAACGCCACAAAATTTAAAATGTGAAGTGAATCGAACATGCTGAATCGAACAGTGAGGTTTTCGTGAAAATCTGATGCGTAGTTTTGGACGATGGGATTGTCAGCAAATGCGTACCTTTGATAATTTTTTAAAGCAAATGATGTTATCCTAGTCTCACTTTGAGCAGCTTTCTTGCCATTGCGTGCATAATTCAATCTCATCGTCCAAGTTTCGATCCCGCTAAAATAAGCTCACGCCAAACAACATCCATTAGTCATGAAAATGCGATCCGCTTCCCTCTACCTCAATTCATGTGGCATTACAACTGAAAGGACGAGTCAAACTGTGGTCATCACCACACAAACCTGCCTGCAAATATAAGGCCCATGTAAACCCAGACATACCTTCCATTATGGGACGCCATGTGCACCTGAAAGTGGGATATCTGAGCCACGGGATGGGATGCGTTTGCAGTC